CAACAAAATATGTGTTCACTAATCTGTGTATATACACTACTCAAAATATACAATCAACTACATCTACATTAAGCTAAACATGAATTCATTTTGATCTCTCCAACTCTAATCCATTACCAATGGATCATTCTTGAATCTCCTCTCCTTGCTGTCTGCAACCTCACACTCTACAGTGAGAAACCTGTCCCCCCACCTGCTAACCATTTATGTAGCTACTTAATTCTACAACATATGCATTATAGCAGTATCTCAATTGTTAAGCCATACTGCTGAGATAAACACCTTATCAACTAGAGGACAGTGCTTGTGAACATTTTCTTTTGCTTTTCAGCTTAGACTCTATTCACTTCCAAGGTCATTTAGGTCAGTACCTTGCCCCCAAATCCCTTCCATTAGGTTGTCTCATACATTTGTAAGACAGTTAGGTTGTTTTGTCAAATCTTGCATTCCATCTGAGGAGCCTCTGACTAAATGATTTCGAAGTTTGCATACATTGTTTTTTTGTGCTGTAAAGTTCTATGGACAAACACACGTTTATATCATTCATAATAGGTTCACGGCCCTAAAAATCCCATGTGCTTTACCTATTCAACCTTCCCATCCTCTTCCTATCCCATGGTGACCATTGATCTTTTTAGCATCTCCATAATTTTGATTTCTCTAAAATGTCATATTATCAGAATAGTATACCTTTTTAGACATGAGTATTTCACTTAACAGCCACAGTTTTTGTGGCTTATCACTGAATAACATTCCACTGCATCGAAGTACTAGTTTGTTTATCTTTTCATCTATTGATGGACATTTTGGGTGTTTTTGGTGATAATGAATAAGGCTTCTATAAATGTTTGTGCGCAAATTTTTGAGTGGACATGTTTCTGATCAGTTGGTTAAGTATGTAGGAGCAAGACTTCTGGCTCGATGGTATGGCTATTACAATTATTATCTATTTGTATTTATCATGATTGCTGTTTAGATTTATTTCTAACATCTTATTTTGGACTACGGTTCTGCCTTTTTTTTTTTTTTTACTCTTCCTTATGGTCTTCTGTTGAATTAACTGAAGTTCCTCCCCCTACTTCTGTCCTCCTACTTGGAAAATTATACACTTTTTCTTTTACTGTTACCTTGAATACAATGTTTTTCACATGCATATCTGTCAACCTCTTGAATACTTCTTGCAGGTCTAAGAACATTTGAATTCCAATTAAGCCTCTTTCAACCTGTATGCTACTCGTCCTGTTTCTTAGTTCTATCTTGCTCTTAATGTCTCAAGTAAGATATCATCTGTATTAAGACAATGTTCATCCATATTCACTCATTTTTTTTGGTGGGGGTCACCATACTTTCTCAAACTTCAGGCTTTCCATAATTGTCCTTCTGCATGAAGTTGATCTAAATTTCTTTTACTTGAGTCTTTTGGTGACAGACTTACTCTGTGTCTGAAATGTCTACTTCACCCTTGTTCCAAAACCACAGCTTCACTGGGTATTAACAATTCTTGGCTAATGGTTTGTGTTGCCGCTTCTTAGCCCACTGACAATACTATGCAGGTATTTCTGGCTTTTGTGGCTGCTGCTGAGAAGTCAGGAGGTCTTATTGCTGTTGCATTGTAGGTAATATGTCTTTTCTGCCTTTTACAAATTTCTCTTGAGATTCTGCAATTTCACTATATATATATATATATATGGAGGCGTGGATTTTACTGAACTCACTTGGGATTTGTATAGCTTTTAGAACCTGAGGTTTGGTGTCTTTCATCAATTCTAGAAAATTGGTATTTATCTTTCCAAATACTGCCTATTCACAATTTTCTCCTTCTAGGATGCTGAGACATGCATGTCAGCCCTTCTCAGTCACTTCACATCTCTTACCCTAACATTGACATTTCTACCTATTTGTGCCCTTCTGCTACCTACCAGGTAACTATTTGGCTCTATTTCCCAGTTTATTAATTCTCTCATATTAAATGTATTCATCTTATATATTTTTTTATCTGAAAATTCTAAGTCTTTACAGATCTAATTGTACTAACTATATTGTTTTCTGCTAGTTTTTGTTCAGGATGGCTTATTTGAGGCATATTGCGATTTTGTGGGCTGGGGATTGATAACTATGAGGTCGTGTTCTTTGGAGTTTATCTGGGGAATGTTTGATGACTAAGTTAAAGTTGTTTTCTTACAGCATGGGTATGCAGGTACGTGGATATAGCCATGAACTCAGGGCCCTTACCAACTTCAGATCCCTGTAAGAACTTGGCTTTAAACCATGTGAACCACGGGAATCCAGCCTGCAAACCTGCATGAGGGAAGTCTTGTTGGTGACTTAAGGGCAGCTGTGTGCTTCTCCTTTCCAATTAATACCAATCCCCCTTACACTGAAGTCAGTCCTTAGGGGGATCCCAGTTGTTTATGGGGGAACTCCTTTGAGAATCCCCAACTCTGGTGCTCCCCAGGCTCATCTCCTGCCACCTGTACTGCACAAGTCCATTCTCGCAGAAGCTGAGCACCACCCCAATTTGCTAGGTGGAGAAAACAAGTTAAGTGTTTGCTTAACTTTCTGAGTTCATCTTTCCCTTTGTTCTTGGCCTCTGCAAATGCTCTTTTCTTGCCAGCTCAGCCACACAAGTAAGATTAAAATAGTTTTACAAAACATTTTGTGTTATTATCAGGTGGGTTGTTCAGAGTATCTAGTCCTTCACACGTTGGAAATGGAAGTCCTAACATCTGATTTATCAAGTTACTGAAAGGCAATGATGAGAAAGCAGAGGCAGGGAGTATGTTCTTCTGCTCTGTTTCCTCAAGCAGTTCCAAAGTGGGCAGTGGAGAGCTACAACGGTCATGGTTTTCTCTGGGGATGGGCAGGTGGCTTTACCAGGAAATGCAGCAGCTGCTGCAGAGAGAGACCAGTATGGAAGCTACATCTTTCCCAAGAACAGAGGCCCAGAAAGGAGTCACGAGCTGGGTTACAGTGACTCTACAATGTCATCAGGAATATTACCTTTACTGCTTTGCCTCTGTGGAGATACCCTATGACCCAAGTAGGCTGCAACCACATGTACACCTCAGTCAGAAAATAGAAGGGTTTAAGCCCAGAAAGGGCACAGAGCCGTTCATTGTCTGTTCCTCTTAAGAAGTCTTCCCAAAACTCCCAGCCAATCTCTGCCCACCTCCCCCTGGCAATCCACAGCACCAAGGGAGGCTGGGCATTTAACATTTTAGCTGGTCCCACCGCTGCTTGAGTAGACTTGGACAATCCTGGATACTTGGTAGGCAAGTAGCAGCCTCAGCCACAGGACCTAAGCACTTTCACTGCCTGAAACCCTGCCTTGTTTCACTGCCTGCCTTGTTACCCTGAAGATTTCAAGAGCATTGATGACAGTAGCAATCATCCAGTTTACCAATGAAAGGCAGCTGGATGGATGCTCAGAGAAGAGATCAGACAACTTGCAATTCTAATAAATTTCTATAAACCAAAACAAAAACAACAACAACAAAAAACCACAAGCCCATAATATAAGAGAACTGAATTTAAAGCTGGAGATAATACATGACACACAGAAATTCACACTGGTGACAGAGGACAGCTGCCCTCTCACAAAGTACCTCTCATATCCAGCACAACTTTTCGGAAGGACTTCTGACCCGCAGGAAGCTGCTCTGCGGCTGGCTGCTTTGGGGGCTGCAACCCTGGCAAGTGGGGGTGTAAATTTAGAGCTGCAGTGAGGTAGCTGTATGCAACCTGCCTCCATCCTCTTACTCCCCTACAGACAAGGGAAATACGGAACAACACATTGCACTCGATCACATCACCCAACTCCATCGCACTTCTCCCAATCACTTACCATCCCAACTTCCCGGAACCAATCACTTGGGGAAGGGCTGCCTAGTTGGTGCTGGACACCTGGAACCTGTCCCTGTGAACACTGGAAGGCAGACTTTAGGTATCCTCAGGCCTGCTTTCCCCCAGTTTCTGCTGTGAAATTAGATGAACTCAATGCTACATGCCAAGTCCTCAACATGCCACATCACGAACGCGCCAAATGAAACAGAAAGAAGTTCATGGTAACTATTACAGGGAAGTCTCCTAGAATTAATTCACCTGTAGAAATCTGCAGGTTAGGATCTAAACCCCAATACTAATTTTAGAATGGAGATGCTTCTCTTTTTAAACCAAGTTCAGTCAGCATGCCTCAACAACTGCCTGTGGCTGGGATGCCCTGTGTCCAGACAGGGTTCATCAGCCAAGTTCAGGGGCACCTGGGCTTTTGTTGCGCTCAAACTAAGCGCCTTAGTCTGGTACAAGGCAAGATTATGAGGTGGTTTTCACACTGATGCACATCAAAGTGGCATAGTGAATATTTACAATTACACTGGAATGGGCTCCACAGTGGAATAAAGTGTGCTCTTCTCCACTGCTGTGCACATCACCTCTTCTCCAGGCGAGCTGTGGGCACTGCAGCTCTTAGTAAATGCAGCCCTCAAGCTTTTCACCTTTGTTCTTCCCACACCATTTCATTGTAATGTCAGCTCACGACAGGAAATCTAAGAAGGCAGCTCTCCCACAAAACCCATGGGAGCAGCATATGAATGACAGCAGTGACCAAGTCTGTTATCAACTCTGCAGGTTCAGATTTCATGAAAAATCCTGCAAGGAGAATGTTACGGAGAGTGTTTTTCAGCAGCGCTGGCTCTTGTGTGCAGAAAACCATTCACTAGCGGACACTTCTGACAGATAGAATGGGCGCGGCTGTTTGTCATTCTTTGAAGTACAGCAAAATCAAATTTTATAATATAACCTGAAGAAACTCTGTGCCCTCTGATTTATATTTCTAAGATTCAAAGCAGCAGTACATACTACATTGTTCAACACAAATAGTAGGGAATATTTCTGCTAATTCTTCTGTCAATGTCAGTTTGACATGAAGTGATGAACACTAATAGGATTCTAGTTCAGAAAACACCTTGCTGTCTTTTACTGATTGAGATACAGTTTCTCTATTTATGTTTGCTTATATCAGTTTATTTCCAAAAAAGAATTTAAGGTGGGCTTTGACAGTAATAGAGGGTAGCTGACATCTCAGCAGTCTAAGGCAAAAAATTATTTTAACTAGGAAAAAACATTTAACCCAAAATAGCAGTAAACTGGAATCTTTCAGTTATTGGTTTGACATGACAATATTTGTTTCATAAAAATTGCCTATTCCTTTTAAATATAATACTGAGATTTTTCCCTACCAATCACTCCTTTATTTAATAATCCTGTTGCTGCTTTATAAAACAAAAATAAACAAAATGTAATTGCAAAGCTTAGTTTGCAATTTTTCCACTGTATAATTTACTCACATTTTTTCAAAACTCCATATTCCTTTCTATATAAGTACATGTGAACTAACCATGAATAGTTTTACAGCTTATTTAAAATATAAGTGAGGAACGTAGACATTTGCCACACCAAAAGCTAGTTATTACTTTTACTTTTTTAAGGCAATGGTAATTTAAGAAGAGAGTCCCAAGAAACTTAATAGGATTCCCAGCAGTGATAATCTCTGGTATTTATGAGATTTGAAACATAATCATAAAAGGCTAAAAACTGAAACATACATTCCTACTTTTTCTTTTCAAAAAATCCAGACAAGATGTCACATCAAGAAAGCTCAGCACATTCCCGGACGGTGGCCTCAGTGGTCCTCAGACCCGCTGCCCCTCCTCCCAGGGCCGGAGCCCTGCACGGAGGACAGCAGTGCGTCTGCAATTGGCTTCTTTGGGTTCTCCTCCAGGTCTGTCTTGATGGCTCCAGACTCAGACAATTTCCACTCCAATTCTACACGACAAAGAAAGAGCAAGTCACCTAAGACACAGTCTGCATGGGGCCCTCACCCTCACTTCCAGTAAGCCCTAGCTTACTCCTAAGTAGGAACTACAATTTATCAACATTTGAGGCCAATTTGATTTTAGTGGCATAATTAAAAGGTGCCTAGAAGGAAAAAAAACAGAATTTTAGGTAGGAAAGCAAAAATACTTTCATGTTGTCAGAAGACGAGATCCCGAGAGATTACACACATTTGAACCTATGTGGTAATTAAAATAAAAAACAAAGACTGAACCTGTGTTCTAATAACTAGTTTCTCAGATTATACAATTTCCCAGGAAAGAAATCAGCATGAAACATTTAAAGAAAATACTTTTCATAGTCCTGCTGGCAATCCAATCACTAAATCTAATTTTAGTTAGCAAAAGGAAATTCTTAAGCCTCATGTCTGATATCTATTAGAACCAGGATAGATATAGGGTCACATCCTAGAAATATTTATTCCAAGCTTAAAAAAAAGTACCAGAAAATAAAAGAATCAGAACCAGTTCCTATAGGAGGTCACTCACTCTCCTATAATCAGTAAAACTCTACATGGGTGTGACACCTTCTGAAGCAAAATCATGTGATATATTTTCCACTCTGACCCAGGCAGAGAAAGGGACTATATGAGAGATTCTACAAGAAAAAACCCGCTCATTAGGTACTTCCACTAAAATCTGACAACCATTTTAACTAAGCCCTATAACTTAAGAGTTCTCCGTAGAGATGACTAACACCAGTATTGTCAGCTCTCGGTACCTCAACTGAATGTTAGGAAAATCCAACAAATTTCTTTAAAAAAAATCTTAAGATTTCTGATTCTTGACTCAAGAATACATTTAGATCCACACATACAAACATATGTATAAGTGCATGTATTTAATGTTATTGTTCATTTACATGTAGTAATCATTATTTTATAAGCTCACTAATCCTCAAATAGGACTTTTTCTAGAAATAAAGACTTATAACTACTATTATACACACATCTCTCCCTTCATGGTATGTTCAAAAAGAGCAGCATAAGATGCAAACATAGATTGAGGTCGAAGTGTTGTATGCCTTTGAACATTGGCATAATGTATAATTGACATAATGTGGGTATGCATATGCTTATACTTTTCCCAGGTTAGTATCTTAAAAGTTATAGAAAGTAGTATATAAAGTCATATCTTAATATATTTTTTAAAGACTACTAAAGTATAGTTGGATATATTATTTCAATAGGGAGACAAAAAATTTGACTTAGCAGGAAGCTCTCAGGCCTTAGATTCCCTTCCATGTTATGTGTACATCTGTAATTTGTAACCTTCATGTGTAACAGGTGGAAAGGAATAAAAAGACACATTCTTCAGGAGTTAAAAGGCAGAATTAAATAAACTTAATTTAATTTAAAAGTAAGATATTCAATTGAGAAAATATTTCTATTAGAGATTTACATATACATACATTTATACACATACAGATATACATCTAGTATGTTCATATGAATGAAACAAAAAATGATGTCATCTTGAGCTACAATTTAAAACATATTCAACTATATGGACAAATAAAACATACTAGACATTAATATTAAATATATATTTTTTAAAGTCCATTGTGTCCTCTTTTAACTGAGAACTATTAGAACCCAGTTGTAACTGCCGCCAATGAATCATCTAAAAATTCAGAGATTAAAGGTGCTTCTTCCCTTTAAAGGATCTCTCACAGGGCACAGGTGACCGACAAATCATGTCTAGGAAACAGGCACTATCTTCAACAGAAAGATCCCCTCGCCATCCTTAACAGGCACTGGTCATCTCTAACATACACTGGTGCCCTGGACCGTCTCAAAGAGGCTCTTACCATCTCTTGTCAGGTTCATGCCACCAAATACCAGGGGCCCAATAAATTGAGCCTTGATATCACCTTCAAGGTAAATGAATACTGTTGGCAGATTCCTATCAGGAAAATTGGGTATGCAGGTTGTTGAAATTGCTTTGATAAATTTGACGTCAGGAAACTTCCTGGCAAGTCCACTGAAGTGCTGATTTATCAGGGCACAGAGGGGAATCCTATAAAATGAAAACAGTAAACAACGGTGGGAGAGGAATCCTATGAAACAGAAGTAGAAGCAATGTGATTCTGCATTTATACAGAACGAAGCTCAATGACCCTCTACCCCATGTAAATCCTCACAGCAGTTTCACAAACAATGCCGCTACTCCAGCCAAGCAAATTAACCTTTTTAAAAAACTCTCTTAATATATTCAGGGAAAGTGAAGAAAGAACTCAAAAACTGAAGTCCAATTTATTTGATCCAACACTAAGTCAGGAAAACATCTTTAATGTAAAAGATAATTATATGCTCTTTTATATGAGAAAACATTCAAGATTTAGAATTGTGGAACAGGTCAGACAACATTTAAAAGGTCACCCTCATCACCTGTGAATGATTCATTACGTGGAATTTTGAAATGTCAGAGTTTCTCTAGAGGGATGAATAAGGAATTCCTTTTCAACAAAAGCAAAGGCTTCACTGCTACAGTGCAACCAACGAGCTCATATGAGTCACAAATATTAATTTCAAAGTCTTAAGACAAAAATTAGGCATTACCGTTCGGGTAAATCAGCCACAAAAACATAAAATACTAGTTTAAAAAAACCCAAAAAACTCCAATATGGACTAAGCCGGAGAGGTTCAAGATATAAATTCAAATTACGATTTAAAGAGTGCATTATATCAGCTCACCCTTGTTTGTAAAGGTGCAAGATTACCCACAAGCCCTCACCGGCTTTGGTAACTTCTTGAACATAATCCTTTCCTGAGATCTCCAAAACTTCTCCAAATTTATTCTTGAGTTTTGTTGCCTTCCACTCGGCCAGTCTCTGCTGCCTGCAAGACAGGAGGAGGAGGGAGACATCTGACTCAGCCGGGGCACGCACACGCCTCTCTGGACACACACCCCTTTCAGACAGCAACCTCTGCAAAGGTCCAGGTTTATTTATTTGCCACACTGGCAAAAGTTCAAGACCAGTTCATTGAACTCTGCAGTACTATTATTTACTTACAGCCCTTTACAAATGTTATCTCAGTTAGAAAATTAATTTCTCAATGGAAACATATTTCAGTGCCACACAAAAAATGGAACAGTCCCTCTGGGTGGCACTAACCTGTACATTTCAATGGCACGTTCGTCTTCCTCATTAAATTCATCTTCATTTTCCTCCAGTTCTTCCAAGGTCATAGACTCATACGTTTTCACTGAATGTGGGTAAGTCAGCAAAAACCAAAAAATGTACAAGATGAACAAACATGCATTTGGATTTTTTCCCTTCACTCTTCTCCTAAAGATGTACGTGCAGCACCTGCAGACCGCAGCCCACCAAAACCAAAATAAAAAGCACTTATGGTACTACACTACACCCTTAAGTTAAGAAGCTGAGGTGTTTTCACAAGACAGAACTACGCTGTTTTCTGCAGGCTTGACTCTCTTAACCTCCACACAGTATCAAGGGTACAAGAAATTTCTCAAGCTTATAAAACAAGAGAGCTGCATCTACCTAAACTCACCCAGGGCTGATTTTCAAGCACATGAGCTTGTGGACCTGTCCACTGACAGGGCTCAAATCTCCAAGGAGATGGGCGGATAGCAGTGGGTGTCCCAAGCTGAACTCACCCTTCCTAAACTAAAGGCATTACCCAGCGACTTCTAGGTCTTTTCTTGTGAGAGGGGGACAGCTCTATCTTTTCTTTTCTCCAGCTGCTATAGCATCTGTATTTTGTTTTTATTGCCAAAAGCACTCTTGCTTCTTGACATCAAAACAGGCTTTTGACCCCTAACCCCACCCCATCACTGCACCAAACTGCTCTTATCAAGGTCAACGATGGCCTCCACTTCTTGAGTGGGGAGCAGCCTTTGATTCAACCCATCACTGCCTCCTTTGAAAGACTGTCCGCTCGCTTTCAGGATGCCTTCTCACTTCCTACCTCTATCACTGCCCATCCTTTGGACCCTTTGCTGATCTGACTCCTTTTCTTCTTTATACCTACTCCCTTGGTGACTCTATCTCATGGCCTTATGTTCTACCAATAGGCTGACAACTCCCAAATTGGAGAAAAACATACCCACTGCCCATGTACCATCTCTATTTGTTTAATTAGAATCTCAAAGTTCCTATGTCACAGAGTTACAATCTCCCCTCCAACATGCTCCTCTCTGAGCCTCCCTCACCTCAGCCAAGGGAACCCACCCTTCAGGCTGTCAAGCCCAAAGACCTGAAACCACGCTTGACTGATTTCCTCTCATATCGCCTAAAGGATCCATCAGCAAATCCTGTTGGTCCTACTCTCAAAATACAGCTAGACCTGACCACTTCTCACCATTTCCTCCACCACCATGCTGGTCCAAGCCGATGGATCCCATGCTCGAATAACTGCACTAGTTTCCAGACTCCTCTCCCTACTTCCTGCCGTGCCCCCCAAAGTCCTTGCTCAGCAAGGCAGCACAGGATGGTGCTGTCAACATGGAGGACATGTTATTCTTCTGTTCAAACCTCCAAGGCCTCCTGCCCCATTAAGCGTAAAGCCAAGTTCTTACTAGCTAAGCTACAAGGTCCTAAGTGGTCTGACTCCTAGTTGCCTCTCAACTTACTATGACTCTCTCTGGGTCCTACTGGCTTCCTTGAAGATTCTCTAACATGCTTTCACTTGCTGAAGTAGCTCAATTTACCACCTCAGGTCTACTCAAATGTCATTCCCAGGGGGCCTTCTCTAGAATTATACTCACCTCCACCAACCCTTTCGAGCCCCTTTCCCTGCCATATTTTCCACATTTCACTTAAACATTGTCTGTCTGTCTCTCGCACAAGAATGTACATTCCAGAAGGACAGGGATGTTGTCTGGCCTGTGTACAGCTAAAGCCCCACTGCCTAGAACATCACTTGGCACACAGTGATCATTCAATAAACATTTCCTGGATAAATGTAATACATCCTTCTGTAAATTAGCTCTAACATGTTGACAGGACACAGAAGTAGTTAGCCTCTGTGATCAATGGTTCTCAAACTTTGGTGTGAATGAGAAATCCTTTGAGGTACTTTCTTAAAATGCCCCAGGCCCCACCCCCAGGGATTAAGGTTCAGGCGATACAGCTACCTTTGAGAAAATGCCTCTCAGACCCCACAGTTTCTTCAGGATTATCATGTGCTCCTCTGACACAGACAAGGAAGTGTGGAAACACAAGGGGTCTGTGACGTCTCCCTAATTCTCCGGCACTGGAAGTTGAAGGCTAGAGACATCCAGGACTCACTGGAGGTCACAGCAACAGTGCCCATCCAGCCCTTCAATCCCTGGCTCCCGACTCCTGCTCAGAGGGTCCTACCGAAGCCATCAGAGGCTTAGAAAGCTGTTTCCTACCCAGATTGACACAGAATAAAAAGTGCAAGTAAGCTCACCAACTGACTGTTCAAGGACACGCTGCTCCTCCTCTTCTGCCTCCTTTTCCAAGTCTTTCAAACTGTCCTTTGAGGGCAAGATGCCCTTTTTGCGTAAGATGTCATTCCACTCGGTGTCTGCATTGGGGTCCTAGAGCAGGACCAAGGACACGATGAGTGCCAAGTCCACTACAGAGGGCGTGAGGCTGGGCAAGGGTCAGGTGGGAAACGTGGTACAAACAGGAATTCAAACCAAATTATTCTGTGGTCTGTTTCTGAGAGAATGTCAGAAGATCCACAGTCCATTCCATTCTTCCTGTCCTCCAGCCCATGCCCCACCAAGGAGCTAGTCTTGGGTAAAAACCAGGAAATCATGTGAAGATTGGCATTAACACTGATACCAAGGCTCTGACCTGGCTTCTGTTCAATATTTTTATTCATGACTTGGACGATCCATTCAACAGATATTTATTAAGTACCTAATATATGTTAATCATTGCACTAGACGGTAGGGAAGCAAGGTAAATGCTGGTCAGCTATTTTAGAGATGAGAGGAACAGACAGGCGATGAACAATTAAATAAATGAAGATACACATTACAATTGTGACCTGGGCACTTATCAACAGGATGCTGACCTTGAGAGTTACAGGACAGGCAGGGGCATTATCTCAAAAGAGGTGACATTTATCCATCACTGCAGGGTAAGAAACTAGACACCAAAAGTGAGAACTTAGGAAATTATTTCCAGGCAGAGGGACCAGCATATACAAAGGGAAAGAGCAGAGATACTGAGCACCTCAAAGTGTTCAGTGGCTACAGGAGAATCAGAGAGGGCGGAGAGTCTGATACTGGGCTGACTAATTCTCTAATGGCCAAACCTGAGAGGAAGAACTGAGACCCCTCGGAATAGGGGTCACAATGGCTAACATGTACCGAGTACTAGGTACTGGGCATGCTTCTAAGCCCTTACCTTTATCTACCTGACTGACCCTCACAGGCTTGGGAGAGAACTGGCATTAGGAAGACCCAGGCCTGCCAGACAAGGCAAATTTACCAGGACCAAAGGTCAGAAAAATAAATGTCAAAGTGTTCTCTTAGCTCCAGAACCCAGCTGCCCAAACACTGGTTTTGCATGGCTCAGCAGGACCACTGCGATGTACCTGGGTTGGACTATGAAAACAAGGAGTGCTGTGGAAATGGCACTGGGGTAACCAGGCTCCACCCACAACTCCGATCATGGTGTTGGTGAGAAACATCAGAAGAAAAATGAATAGCAGACTTTCACCAGGACGGTCAGGGAGGACCTCTGGAGAGGTGACTTTTTTAAACAGGGAACTGAAGGACAGACAAGGCAAAGTAGGCTGGGGCAGCCTTGGAGATTCCTCTTCACCATATAAGAGTATCCGGCTTGTGGCAGACACAGTGTTTTTAAATTATCATCCTCCCCAAATCTCCCATGCCTCCTGCCCCAACCAAACCCAGAGTGTGAGTCAGAGACGATTTAATCAGAATTCCTGACCACAGCAAGATCTGGGAGGCAGCAGAGTGATCTTCAGAGGAAGGTCCTTGGCCAGTGACACAATTAACATGTCACAGGGTTTTGCTCTTAAAGCAGCCATTTCCACGGTGTCTTCACTCATTTAGTGAATGAATAGTGAAAGGCTAATCTTTGGGTTTTAGTCAAATTCCATCAACAAATTCCAGATGAAAGGACAAAACTAGGGGATTTGGTTTTACCTACTTTAAGGCAGAAAACTGAGCAGAGGGATCCTCGGGCTGAGCTCCGGAGGCAAGGCTGTCAGAAAGGTGGCTCTCCTCAATCCGAACACCTGGGTTAGGGGGAACAGGCAGCCCCTCACACAGCTCTACGTGGAATCAGGGACCCGGGTTCCTCCACCGTTCTACGTTATGTGACCCCTAGGCGGAACTCTTCAAATATCTGTGAGCCTCAGCTTCCATTGCCATACAACAGGTTCACAGCACACCTGCTTAGGTGCTCACTAAGAGGTAATACATAGGAAGTAACTTTGTCAGATGGGATCGGACGAGTACTTCACAGACCCCACGGGAGCCAGCCTCAAGAAGCAGCAGCTCCAAAGGGCAACGATTTGTCGGATGGTGGGGCACACAGGGGTGAAAACGCCTAGCCCAGGGGTCCCGGCGGGACCACGCCTGCCCTCCCGCACTGCGCCTGCGCCTTGCTTGGATTCGCGTGGCCTCCCCGGTGCATGTGGCGCCCGGAGCTTCTCACAAGCCCGATCGGGAAAAGCTGGGCCCGGTGCGCACCCAGTGGGGCAAACGAGCGACCACAGCCTCCAGACCTCGCGTTCCCAGGCTTGCTCACCTGCATTTCGTCTCTAACCACTCACGCCAGGCCAGCCGCGAAGCCACCGCCCCTCAGCTCTCTTCCGCGCATGCGCGCAGCCGCCGCCCCGCCTCTTCTCCAAGCCTGGCCTTCGCCCCGCCCCCCAGGAGTAAGAGGCGCGGAGCCGGGAAGGAAGAGAAGCCTCTGAGTCTGCGCCCGCTCCTCAGAAAACTGGCGCAGAAGCAGTGCGCATGCGCAACACCCTACACCCGTCCCTCTGCCCCTGCCGCGGAACCCACGTGACAGGGGTCACTGTGGGCGCCACCTTATTACGGCAGGTGTTTGGCTTTGGAACGGTGACTGGGTGGACGAGGTCTCCAGGCCCCGTGCGCATTCTCCATCCGCAGATCCAATCGTGTAAAAAAAGGCCTCGGTCCGGGAAGTCGGAAATGGGAATGTGTTTCAGTGATCCGATGTTTACAATTAAAAATAATGCAAGGTCACAGAATGATGAGTGAATTCATCCTCATCTCAGCGACGCATAAGGCAAGTCATTCTTAAGACACATTTTTTTTTGAGAGCTTACTGTGTACCAGGCACTGTTTCACTTGCTTGAACCTCAGGCTATACACATTTGCAAAAGTGCTTAGTCCTGCGGGGCACACAGGAGGCACTGAGTAAAACTCAGCAGAGTCTTAACTGTAAAACTGCTGGGCGCCAGGCTTCTGGCAATGCAGCTTTCCGAATTTGAGTTAAACAAAGTCCTTTCCTGGACGCCTGGGTTAATTCGCCACCTCCTGGCAATGAAGCAGACACAGGTAATACAGACCTGCACATTTGTGGGGTAGGCATAGGACTCCCAGCTTCGGCTGCGGTTTAGAACCACCTGAGAGTTTTCAAAGACGACAGCTCTCTCGGGGCTCCGTCTCTGGTCAAATTAAATCCTTGGAGACGCAGTCTGGGATTGATGTATTCTTAGAAGATCCTCAGATTTGGTAATATGCACCACCACTGATAGAGAGTGAGTTAAATGATTCCATGAGAGCAAGGAGCTTTCATTAATTAATGATTGATAAGGAGCCTTAAAGTTTACCTAACTCCTTACCACAGAATTATAGGCCTCTGAAAACAGTTTATTCATTTATCTGGCAGCAAACTGTGAATGAATTTTCCCTGGCCTCACCTCTGAAATCAGGACACGGATTAATCTGGGGTAGGTTGTATGGTAAACTTTGGGTCCACCACAGCAGTAGAGTGAGTGCTGTTAAATTCCGCCCCTCATTCCCAGCCTTAGCATTTCTTGAGGCCAAGACTCACCTCCACATGATCCCTTTCTTCGGAGGAGACTGACAAATCAGTGGCTCAGTCTCTATACTGCCTTCTCTTCTGGGGAAAAGGTGCTTTTCCCAGTTTTGTCAGACTTTCCTCCTGTCCTCCAGTCCACAGTCCCTCTCACCTCCCTGTGTCCATCATTCCATCATCCTTGGCTCTGGTGAAAATAATTAGGGCTCAAGAGGAAAAAATTAGAGCCGTAAGACTTGGAAAATAAAAGAATTGGAAAATTTTGTCCTATTTGTGGATGTTATGGTATGATAAGCATACTTGAAAAACTGAAAGAATCAAGTCTTAAGTTCATACTAACAATAGCATTCGCTACTGGAGCAGAATATAGAATTAACATACAAAAGAAAGCCTTATTCTGAATTTACAATAATAAACTAGAAGATATAATGAATCCTAGTTACATTAACAGCAGGAAAAAAACCACTTAGGAATAAACTCAAAAAGTGCACAAAAACCTGCACAAGGAAAACTATAGAACATTTTGAACAAATGGAAAGAAATCCTTCACTTTGGGGGAAAATGATTCACCATTACAGAGGTGTCAGTTTTCTCCAAGTGCATGTGTAAAATTGAACACTATCTTAATTTAAAAACCCAACAGATCATTTTCTGAAGCTAGATAGGTTTGGTTCTAAAGTTTTGTGATAAATCAGAATACAGATGAGGGAACAGTTAGCCCTATCATATATTAAAACCATGTGGTATTTATACAGAGGTAGACAAGTAGAGGAATGGAGCAGCAAGTTCAGAACAAGTCTAGAAATAGAACCAAGTATGTATAAACATTAGTGTATGATTGAGATAGTATCTCAGTCTGCTGGAGGAAAGGGATAGACTTCTAAATAATGGTGTTGGGACAATTGGAGAGCCATTTGAAAACAAACAAAATTGGTTATGTGCTTCACAGCATATATCAGATTAAAAATTAAAAAACTAAAAGTTCTAGAAGAACTTTCCGAATGTAAACCAAACCATCATGCAGGATAGCCTAAAAATAGAAAAAGCCTTTGATGACTAGTACTAAAAATGGAGAAAATCAAATGAAAAAAACAATAGATTTGACAACCTAAAATATTCTTTTGCATGAGAATAATGAACACAAGCATGCCACCTTTGGTGTGAACTGAAAGTTTAAATAATATGTGTGTGTGTATTCAGATTTGCTTAATTTTTCAAGATGAATCAGAATAAATCAGTAATTAATGAACTGGTAACTGGCAGTGGGGTGGAGTTGAGGATGAGGTGGTAGCAACAGTAAACTGGGACTGAGAATCCTCTGGTAAAATTTTATTTGGGGGGCAGATATGTTTTGTGGGGCTCTCTTTAAGAGTACATCAATTACATGTAGAATCTAAAAACAAAACAAACAAATCACCACGCATCTCATCCTTTTTTCTAGGAGTTTATCAGAGGCAGAGGGTAGAAGGTAGGGGAAATGGAGGAAGGTGGTCAAAAGGTACAGACTTGCAGTTATGAGGATGTACTAGGGATATACAGGCATACATTGTTTTATTTCATTTCACAGATACTGTTTTTTACAAATTGAAGGTTTGTGCCAACCCTGTGTTGAGCAAGCCTACCAGCACCATTTTTCCAACAGCATTTGCTCACTTTGTGTCCCTGTGTCACATTTTGATAATGCTTGCAACATGTCAAGCTTTTTCACAATTCTTGCATTTATGGTGATCAGTGATTAAAAGCTGCTGAAAACTCAAATGATGATTAGCATTTTTAGCAAAATTTTTTAATTAAGATACATATGTACATTGGTTTTTTAGACATAATAGACTACTGTGTAGACTGTGTTACTGTGTGTTTACTATAGTTGCAAACATAACTTTTATACGTACTGGAAAGCCCATCTGGAGTGAAACCACAGTATCTCTGAGGTTTGCCTGTGATGTACAGTGAGACAGTATCACTGCTGTAGGATGTAGGGGAGTCATTAAGGTCAAGAGTAAATCCTAAATGTTCTCATTACAAGGAGAATTTTTTTCCCCTTCTTTTCTGTTTATGTATCTATATGTGAGAGGGTGGATGTCAGCTGTACCTATTGTGGCAATCATTTCATAATATATGTAAACCAAACCATCATGCAGTATGCCTTAAATGTATACAGTAATACATGCCAGTTATTTTTTAATAAAACTTTCCAGTGGCTTGGAGAAGCCTGAACAAATGTGCAGCTCAGAATATTTTTTTGTCCCTTTGAACTTTTGTTTTATAGAGGAAGAACCGCTACCCTGCATGTTGTGTTAATCATCCCTTGTTTCTCTCTCTCATTGTAAATATATTGCTTGAAGTATTGTATAAATGAAACTGTATCATATGTATCCTTTTGGTTTTTAAACAACATTGTATGAGATTCATCACTGCTAATATGTGGAGTGACTATTATTTTCACAGTTGTATAATATCCCAGTGTATGCTTATACCACAGTTTACCAGTTTTCCTGTTGATAGGCATTTGGTCTGTGTTTGCTATTACAAATTATTTTGATACCCACAATTTCAGTAATACTGAAATTACTAAGTCAGACAATAGACTTTCCTACTCTGATTGCCAGCCAAAGCTTCTGTAGCCCTCCTACCTTCCCTAAGGGGAAATGGGTCATATCCTTGCAGGGTCTATGGGCTGGACCAAATGTCTACATTCGAGGACCTTGAGTGAGTGGGGGCAGGGAAAAGAGGGGAGAAAGATATGTCTTAATTTGCTTGGGCTGACATCACAAAAGACCATAGACTAGGTGGTTCATACAGACATTTATTTTCTCACATTTCTAGAGGCTGAAATGTCCAAGATCAAGGTTCTGGACGATTCAGTTTGTAGTGAAGGCAATCTTCTAGCTTGCACTCGGCCCAGCAACTTTTCACTATGTCCTCACATGGCATAGAGAGTGCAAGCTCTCTGGCATTTCTGTTTATAAGGACACTAATCCTACTGGAGCAGGGCTCAGCCCTTCTGACCTCATTTAACCTTAACTGCCTCCTTAAAGGCCTTATCCCCACATTGCTTCCTTAAAGGCCGTATCTCCCTAAAATAGTCATACTGGGAGATGGGGCTTCAGCATAGGAATTTTGAGGGACATAGTCCGGTCCATAGGAAGTTGGTACTTCCCAGCCCACAGACCATGACATTCAGCCATAGCCCTGGGGAACCAAAAATGACAGCAATTGAGGCCAAATGGGGCATTCCTGCTGGCTCTGGTGGGCTCTGTTGTGACGTGGGGCTCCATTTGACTGGAGACTTGGACTCAGGCGTCAGCCCTGCTGACCTGAGAGAGCCCAGGCATGTGAGGTCACTATGAGGCTGTGGATCACAGGCTTCCAAGCAGAAGATAGCTGTAAATTCTGAAGTCATACAGTATTCTTTATTTATTTATGTTAGTAAAGAAGGTTAGAGTTTTCTCCCTGGGGATACCTGTTCATGAGGCATCAGAGTTTGCTGTCTCCTGGATCTCAAATGGTCTGCTTTCTGTGACTTCCATCCCTGCCCCCTTGGCTGCCTCCAGGATGGCCTCCATGCTGTTCCCTCCATAGGCTCAGCACAAAGCCACCCCTCAGCCATGAGCTTTGTCGCAGGACTGGCCCTGAAGTCCCTCGTTGTAAAACTAGCTGTGTGTGGGTGCACCTGTGTGCAATGCCCCCACCTCCTTCATGGTGGGGCCATGGCTGCTGCTCTTGTGAGGGGCACTGGGCCTGCTGCCTCTGGGCTGTTCTCCCCTGAACAGGTGTCCCTGCATTGTCCCATGGACGCCCTGAAGATGTGTACTGTGTGGCAGCTCTGGGTTGTGTGATAAAATAAGATTCACTGCTCCTGGCTACCCTT